AAATGAGGAAAACTTGCATGAGTATTGGGAGCGGTTTAAAAGACTTTGTGCAAGTTGTCCACATCACCAGATTCCGGAGCAATTGCTGATTGTCTACTTCTATGAGGGATTGCTACATATGGATAGGAACCTGATTGATGCTGCCAGTGGAGGAGTTCTTGTTAACAAAACACCCAATGAAGCTAAGGCGTTGATCTCAAACATGGCTGCAAATGCTCAACAGTTTGGAACGAGAGCCAATAGCAGTGTTGTGTACCAGGTGCAAGAAACTCCGACCCAGCCTTCAGCAGTGGCATCAAGTGCTGACAATCAGCAAATTGAAAATAGACTTGATGAATTGGCAACCATGGTGAGACAGTTGGCAGTTACCCAGACAGTCCAGACTTCTGTTCCACAGTTCGGCAATCCATGTGGCATATGCAGTGATCATTTTCACTCCACTGATGCTTGCCCTTCTCTACAAGAGGGCTCCATTCCTGCAGACCAGTCAGTAGCTGCAGTCTTTCCTGGGAAACCACAGTTCCAGCAGCAGCAGAGTAATCCATTCTCCAACACTTACAATCCTGGCTGGAAGAATCATCCCAACCTCAAATGGAACCAGAATCAGCAAAATGTTCCATATCAGCAGAGTCAACAAAATTTTCCATACCAACAGAAGCAGCAGTTCATTCCACAGCAGAGACAAAACTTCCAGCAACCTGCTCCTCAACAGTTACAACAACAACCACTAGTGCAGCAGCAAAACAGTGTCAGTGGTCCTTCGTTGGAGGACTTAATGAAACAGATGGCCACCAACAATCTGGAGTTTCAACAGAGGACAGAATCCACAATCCAGAATTTGCAGACACAGATCGGGCAATTGGCGACATCAATGAACCAGGCCCGATCTTCCAGCAGCTCCCTTCCATCCCAAACAGTTCCAAATCCAAAAGGAAGCGGAAATGTGAGTGCTATTGCTCTGCGGTCTGGAAAGCAAATGGAGGAGCCAAACCAAGCTGATGTTGAGTCATCTAAGGGAGGTGACACTAGCTCCAAGAAGCAGAGCACTGATACATCTGATGTCCATATCCCTCTGCCTTTCCCTCAGAGAGCCACTCAGTCCAAGAAGCAATCAGCAAAGGCTCGAGATAAAGAGATACTTGACACCTTCCGAAAAGTTGAGGTGAACATCCCTCTTCTGGATGCAATACAGCAGATTCCGAGATATGCCAAGTTTCTAAAGGAGCTGTGCACCAACAAGAGAAGACTGAAAGGAGATGAGCAAGTTAACCTGAGTCAGAATGTATCAGCACTCATCCAGCCTATGCCTAAAAAATGTCAAGATCCAGGGACATTTACTATTCCTTGTGTAATTGGCAATTCTGTTTTTCATGATTGCATGCTAGACTTAGGGGCTTCCATTAATGTCATGCCTGAATCTGTATATAAGTCTCTTGGACTTGGTCCTTTGCGTGCTACTAGTATTGTGGTTACATTAGCTAACAGGAGTAGTATTCACCCATCTGGTTTGATTGAGGATGTATTGGTCAGAGTTAATAATCTGATTTTTCCTGCTGACTTCTACATTTTAGAAATGGAGAGTGAGACTGCTACTAATAGATCACCAATTATACTTGGTAGGCCTTTCATGAGAACAGCTAGAACAAAGATAGATGTTCATTCTGGTACTCTATCCATGGAATTTGGTGATAGCATTTTACATTTTAGTATATTTGATTCCATGAAGCATTCTAAGGTTCAGGTTGATCATTCAGTTTCATGCATAAAAGTGATTCATGATGTGGCTGATAAGGTTGATTTTGAATTGATTAGTGATTGTGCATTACCTGTGGATTATGACTTGCCTATTAATGTTAATTCTGAATGTGTACTAAATGCGAAGTTATGCAAGACTCCCCATTCTGGTAATGATTTTGATCCTAACTCTCATGGACCCAAGATGAAATGGGTACCAAAAAGTTCTTCCTCTATTTTTAGTATGCAGAAAAGTTTGCATAAGGTTGGAAGAAAGGATCAAGAGAAGAAGAAATACACACAGAAAAGAAAGCCCCCAAAGTTGCGTGATAAGCAGATGGGGAAGACTTGCACAATGATTTGCCATCACCTCAAAGTTGTTAATGAAGGACCCCAGAAGCAACCTGTGGAGACAGAGGCTCTGCTCATTGATGCTACTTATCCTCCTTAGGGAGTTCAGGGAGTCTTCTTCCCTCTTTTTCTTTTCTTTCTGTTATTTGCATTTTTCTTTTCCTTTCTTTATTTCAGTCTTTGATTTTCATAGGTAGATTTTCCTTTTCTTTCTGGTTATTATTGAGTGTTACATGGAGTAGACTTAAATCACAGGGTTTGATAGAAATTTCTGCTTAGGCTTAGTTCTTGATTCTTGGATTGCATTACTTGCTGCTTGATACTGTGCTGCTGATTGCATGATTTGGTATACCCTTGTGAGGTTTTTGAGCCTGTAGACATGGTCTTAATCTGTAGGCCAGTTTTTCTTTCTTGTGTGATTCTGCTCTTGATTGTTGTCCTCTAGAACTTGCTCTGATTCTTTTTGAAACTGCATTTTTCACTTGCATGCATGAATATGATTGAGGCATTCTTTCTTTCTTTACCCACTTTAGCTAGATAGCCATCCCTTATATTATTATCCCTTGGTGAGCCCTTTTGAGCCTTTATATCCGTTATTTCTTAAGCCGCATTACCAGCCTAAGTGAAAAACCAATTAATTCCATACCTTGGAGTTTTACTGAGCATTGGTTTCATTGTGATGTTGTGTTTAAGTGTGGGGGTTTGCCCGAGACGGACAAAAGTTTAAGTGTGGGGGGTGACATATGTGGTTGTACTTATGTGGTTTTACTTCAAAACAAAAAAACAAAACAAAAAAAAACAAGAAAAAAAACAAGAAAAAAAAAAGTGTTTATCTTTTCAGTATCTTTGTTTTATGTTCTTAGTTTAGTTCTTAACTTTTGCTCTTTGTAAAATTCTGGGGTGTTTAGCTTTCTCTTCCATATTCATCCGTACCTTTACCTCACCCCCATTACAACCCTGCATAAAGCCCTCTTGATTTGTGCATGCATGTGTTATTAGCAGTGGAGAAGTAGAATTTGAGCAAGCCTATGGTAGAATGATTTTCTGGAGTTGATTTGAGTGATATACTGAATTAACTGATACACTTGAGAGAAAATTGAGGGCATCCTGTGAGGAACCATTTTTGTGTAGTTAGCAGTTGCAGTTGAAATCAGCACGTCTTGTGATTTGAGATTAAGGAATTTTTGTCCTGGTTGTTTTATCTGTTCAAGACTTGTGATTTTTGTTATCTTTTGTATACTTGCTAATTATTAGGAAGGATAGGTTGATCTTCACTCTTTTCTTATTTCTTTGCTTTCTTTTTCTATTCTAGTTTTTGCCCAGGAGTGCAAAAAGATAAGTGTGGGGGAATTTGATAACTCATATTTTATTACACTTATTTGTTACTCTTGATTAGTATTTTTAGAATTTATTTGAATAAAATAATGATGTTTTGAGTTTATTTACATTTTTAGTTTTTGATTGGGTTTAATTTATTTTCGTCAGAATTTTTCAGCTTTACGTTACTTCTGTATTTTGGCCATATCTTGGTCCACAGTTGTCGGATTGACTCCGTTCTTGTTGGGTTTTTCAGATAACACAGAGGGATACAATTCTTATGAAGAGCTCGAAGCCCAATTCGGATTGAAAGCTAGTCTATTTCTTGTGCCAAGTCGGACACGTTTTGCTGAAGTTTTATTTTATTTTATTTATTTTATTCCGTATTTTAGACATATGGGCCGGTCAGAACTGAACCCTAAGCCGCTTTGAGTAAGGGTATATGACGGCAGAGTAGGAAACATTGGATGCATTCTGTAATTTTCAAAATTGAGGATCAAAGTATTTTCTCTGAAGCGTTCTTCATCTTTTTCTTCTTCTTCTTCTTTTTATTTCAATCATGTTTACCTTAGCCATGCGAGGCTAAGAACCTTTTAATCAACCTAAGGGTAATGGATTCCATGGATTAGTCTTGAGGATCTGCGTTTATTTCAAATCAGTTTTGTTTCCCTTCCCAACTCAGATTGATATCGTGCGATCGTGGATATTCAATCTGAGGTTCGCGATTGCGATTATGGAAAGGGATTAATCATCAGATTTGATGATTAGGTTGATTGACCCTATGACCTTAAATCAAGCGGGCTGATACTCTGCGATTGTATGAGTAGAAACATCGTCTTTGATCAAATGCTAAGCGATCGCTTAGAGAGGGTTGTCAATTGGAAATAAGGATTCTGATCCGATTGACAAATCAATCACGATTCTGATATCTTCTTATCCGAGGAAAGACGTCCATGGAACCCAAACCTTAGGTTGGTTATTTTTAATTACGAATTTTTATTCCAAATTTATATTCTGCCTTTTTAATTATTGAATCAAAATCCAAAACCCCCCTTTTAATTTTCTGTTCTCATAAGCGATTTTAACCAAAACAATTTCCTTGAGAGACGACTTAGGGAGCAAACGAACCCTAATTAAAAAAATAATTTTAATTTGCGCGAGTTTGACAGCTCGTGTCAGGTCTCTCATGAACAACTTTGAGGTGATGGTAGTCGCTATGAAGGTCTTCCTTGTTTGCTTATCACACAATTTTCTGTTTGAACCCTTTAATTAAAAAAATAATTTTAGATTTGACCTCGATTAGAGTTTCTAAATAGGTTGTGAATATATGGAAGTTTAGTGGAATCAGAGGGAAATTTAAAGTAATTTGAAACGCGTGAGGTGGCGGTGGGCCCCACCCCACTTAAATCCACTTAAGCCACATAAGCTCCCCTCACTATTCATCATCTCTCCCTCCCCTCCCTCTTGAGAAACCGCAGCCCCCTCCCTAAAGAACCCCATTCTCTTTAAATCTTCACCTTCTCGTAACTTCATCAATACTCCTAACTTCATCAATACTTAGCCAAATCAAGAGAATTTTGTGTTGAAATTTGTTGAAAACATCCTTCCAAACTCATTGGTGGTATCCATTAGCCTTGAAGCCCTCTCATTTGTGAGAAAACTGACCTGGAATGCCACGAATTTTGGGAGAAAGTTGGAGTTTTGTGGTTGTTTGCTCAAGTTATTGCTTGAGGATCAAGTGGAGGAGTCTTATGACTTGATTGTGAGTAAGATTCAACACCTTTTGTTGGTTAATTTGATAGATCATAATTCATGAACCCTAGACTTGGTTTTGTTGATTTGTGTTGTTAGAGAGCTCAAATGAAAAATGTGTATTAGATGATAATGTCTTAGAATGATGTGTTAGAGCTATAAGTGCAATGAAAATTATTAGTGAAAAAATGTGATTTTTAACTTAGGAAAATTTGGAGAAATGTCATGACTTTGTGTTTTTGGATTGTTGTTAGAAGTGTGTTGGGAGTTGTTGTATGATTGTATGATGATGTGATAGGATTGTATGAGGTGTGGAATATTTGAAATTGAGTGAAAATTCTTTGGAATTGCCTATGTTACAATTCGGCCATTTAGGGAAAATTAGGGATTTGATGTTGTTGACATTGCTTGGATAATGTATCATGTGTTAAATGGTAATTAGATGGGTTGTGTGGTGGTTGGAAGGTTGGAGAATCAATGAAAAATAATTGATGGTGTTGAGAGTCATAAAGGAACCTAGAGCGAAATATTAGGCCAAATGACGTTTAAATGACGTAAAATAAAAAGTGGCACTTGATGTGGCCTTTTGGTAACCTAAGGATGCCTAAGAAAATGAGAAAGAAAATTTAGAAAAATAAAATGTGAAATAACACATGTTTTGCCAAACCTACAAGGTGTAGGGGAGGTTTTTGACGTTTTTCGTATTCTGATAGAATTGCCGTGTACTGATGATTCGTACAGGGTTGTTGTAGGTTGCCGTACGTTGATTTGAACCCCGAACCGTGAGTTCGTTGGATTGCCTTTGGTCCTGGACCAAGTGGGATTGAGGTAAGTGATTGGAACAATGCTTGTATAATTGGTAACTTGCATGTGTTCGTATGAGTTTTAAGTAATTAGGAATGTCCTCTGTGTAGGCATTTCTGTTGAGTAACGTGCTTGGAAAATATACTGCTTTGGAGCTAAATGGAGAGGCTTATTAAGGTAACCTCTTGGTACTGGGGCTTGATCCCCTTGTGTGTTCCACCATGCCCGTTGAGGGTGATGGTAGGAAATGTATGTAAGTAATGTAGAATAACATGATCATGCATTTAGTATGTATGTTGGTACATAGGTACCGAGTCTTTGGCCAGTAGACAGTTTGCCTTCGGGTGTTTCGGACTTCCATTGGATAGGTCTCCGAGAGGGAGTTCTAATTGACCTAGGGTCGTGGTGTGTGATCCGGATAGGAGCACACTAGGAAGTCTCGGGTGTATAAGGATGGGAGGGGTACCTTGGTTGGATGTTCTTGGAACACGCCTTGGATGAGACCCGTAGGCTTATATGCCGAGTCATTAGGCAGGACGTTGCGTGGTATTGGTAGTTACCATTTCAGCTTCGTCGTATTTTATATCCCTATGTTCCCCAGTTTCTCTAAATCCCTTGCTTTATCCCGTTTTCAAGATGTTGTTTTATATTATTTATATGCATTGAAGTGAGCCATTGGGCGGAGTTTTCTCCGGAACCTCTGGGTTACTGAGATATATTCGTATATCTCACCCTGTCTTGGGGGGCTTTATTTCAGGAGGTAGCAGTGGTACAGGAGCGGCGGGCAAGAAGCCCGTAGGATGAGTCATTGGAGGACTTTATATATTTTGCATTTTGATGGCCATTGGGCCTAGGCTAGACTTAAAGCATGGACATTGTATATGTTGAAAGGATGAGATTTATGTCATATTTGTTCATACTATTTTTGCCTAAGTTAGATACATGTAGTTTATGACATTTGGAAATTTATGAATTATGTTGTAATTTGGATAATTGTAAGTATTGTAGATTGGATCTTGTGTAATGTGAAGTATATGTAATATGATGAAAGGGCAACAGGCCTATTTTAGGATTATGATATTGTGTATGATTAGCAAATGTATGCAATTGGACCTTGATGATTGAAACTTATTAAGTATTAACAAAGAAAGCATTCAATTTTTCATTCTGAATCCATTTCCAAGGTTATTTTTCCGATTTGATACCCTCTACTAACATTTCACTATTTAGGGTTACGTGTTTGGCGAATTACCGTTTTACCCTTTTTATGTATTTTGACACAGAACTCAGGATTTTCACCAATAATACCCTTTAATCCATATTTTAACTATAATTATAGGTTTTAAAACTATGAGGTGTTATAACAGAACCTGGTGAACATGTTGAAGGAAAAATTCTTTCAAACAATAACATATATGAGATCGTGTTAATTCCAAGGATGAATTTGAGTCTTTCTAATTACATTTTCCCTCTAAAGTTTGAGCGCATGTAATTTTCGTTGGTTGATTGCTTCGCCGTGACAATAAACAAGAGTCAAGGTCAGACTTTATCTCATGTAGAAATTTATCTTCCAAGATCAGTTTTTACTCATGGCCAATTGTATGTTGCTCTCTCTAGGGTCAAAAGTAAAAAGGGATTAAAACTTCTCATACTTGATGATTATGGCACAGTTGCCAATACTACAACAAGCACTGTGTTTAAAGAAATTTTTCAAAGGTTGAAGTAAGTTAATTTGTCTTATTTGTTGAACTATTTTACATTATTTTACAGAGTTTTTCTATTTTACTATAATACGCAATGTACATGTAATTTTACTATTTATTTAGTTCTATTTTATACTTTTTACTTACCACTATCCCATGCGAAGGCACTGGTCATAGGCTAGTAGATTTTAAAAGACTATCTAGAATTGTAGTGACTTTAAAAACATTTTAAAAGACTTTTTTTACAACCAAGATTTTATAATATTAGATTTTAATAGGTTTATAAGATTTGAAAGAACAATATATATTTATAAGATTTAAAAAAAATTGAATTTTTAACAAATATACAAAATTACAAGAATTAAAAAAATAACAAATAAATACAATGATATTAATAAAAAAAATAAAACCTAATATAATTTTTTCAATCAATAATTTGATGTACTTGGTGTTCTATTAAGCAACAACTCTCCATATACTTATACTAGCCCTCCGCACATTAGTATCTTCTCGTTCCTGCTATTGAGTTTGACCAAATTATCTTCTTCATTTGGTATAAGAGCTATGCATATATGATTATAAGACTCATAATTTTTTATATTTTAAAATAATTCGAAATTTGCATATAGAACCTAAAGTTCATAATAAAATTTCGTTTGAAATTTTTGCTATTGATCTTAAAAACCTTGGTATTTTTGTTCTACGTAATGAGAGTTTTCTAACCATATATCATATGTATGTTTTCATTGAGTAATCTAAGAAAATTTCGAATATGAAATTCTGGGTTTTATTACATGAAGATTAAAAATTTTTCAAATTATTTTCAATCGATACATTGAAACCTTAAATTGCTTTGAGACTTTTGAAAAACAAGTTTTTAGTGTCTATTGGCACAAAAATTGTTTAAAATCATTTCCTATAGTGAAGGAATTTCATTCATGAATGTATTGTTCCGAAATATTGGGTTCATATTATGAAAGTTTAAATTTTTTTTAAATCGATCTTGTTTCATTGATGTAAAAGAAAATTTGGTTTGGGGGGTTTTTGTTCCCATGTTGTTTCCCCAATATTTTATGTTATTTTTAATACAATAATCACATATTTTTGTGCCAAGAAAAATCACGACCCATTACTTGAAAAATCATTTTCTAAATTTAGAAAAGTTCTCAAAAATTGCTCAAAAATATACTATTTTTAATATGGATTAGATTAAAATCATGTTGGATTGTTGTTTCTGGAATATTTTGTGATAAAAATTGCTCAAAAAATTATTATTTTTTAGCTTTTACAAAAATTCCATATCGTAACCTGGTTTTGAGCCAGTCAACGCATAGGAAGAAATCTAAAAAATCCTAAGAATTAGGGTGACATAGTGAGAGAGACATCCTATTTATTCTTCTTACTAAGAAGTTTCACCAAATCCACACCAATAGAAAATCCACTAAAACAGTCAAATTTTTGAACTCCACAATATTGTTTTTCTTTTGTTTAAAATCCTGATTGAATAACACTGAATTTGAACGGACTCTAAAATAATTTTATAAAATCCTAATCGACTGCAATAGAGAAATCTCAATAAATTCTAGGGGGTGAGATTGTGAAAGAGACATCCTATTTATCTTTCTCACTAAAAAGTCTTACGAAATCCATATTAATAAAAAATTCAATAAAATCGCCAGATTTTTTAATACCCCAATATTATTTTCACTTTGTTTAAAATCTTGATTAAATACTATCAAATTTGGGCCGACTCTAAAATAATTTTTTAAGATCTTAATTAAATATCGCGTGATTTTTTTTTAAATCTTTTAGAATCTTAATTAAGTACCAATAGATTATTTTTACAAAAACAATCCATTAAAATATTTTAAAATCTCAATCTTTTAGAATCTTAATTAAATATACGAATAGATTTTCGAAGATCACTATGTTATTTCCTTATATTCCGATGCCTTTATTCGTTTCCTATTAATTTTCCTTTCCTTTTTCTCTTGCCGGAAAAATTAGGGCTTGAGCTGAACCACCGAGAGAGAGAGAGGATATGAATATCATATCCCAACTACCTACCAGGGTATCTAGTAAAAGATAGAGTCACCAGCATCTCAACAACTCTAAACAGCCAAAGAGTACAAGATAAGGATCACATCCCAACAGAAAGGGGGTGGAATCTTATTGCAATTAGGGGAGCTCAAAAGGCCCAAGCCTAGGAAGGTAATCCTTATAAATAAGAGCTTAAGGACCCCAGGTAAACAACTTTTAACCTATTTACTGATACTGCCCATACTGTGCACACACCCACCCCTTGGCTATAAGCCTATTGCTTGTGCGCAGTGATTGGGACCTCGGCTATAAGCCTAGTATACACCTGATATATACTATCTCTGAGCAGATACCTCACGGTATAGCAATACGGTCAATCTAGGACCAAACATTGGCGCCGTCTGTGGGAAACGATAAATTTTGATTCCCATTCCACGATGACGAACACCCGTTCGACGTCCAGCACTGCCCAAATGCCGCCACACCAATCTCAACCTCAGCCTTATGGTATGCCATCACACCAACCTGCGTTGGAATAGCTCCAATCAGCCGCGACCCCTGTGCTAGTAGAGGTCCAGGTCGACTAGGTCGTCACTCAAGGACTGCCCTCCAGAACCCAGCCCAACGCGACAGCGGGCCTAGTGCGCCCACCTCCGCATAGCGAACAATCCAGGGACATAACCACTGTGGCCATGAATGCGATCCTCCAAAGGATGCAGGAGATGAGAACAGATTCTTGGCTCTACAAGGGCTAAATGCCCAGAGGCTGGAGGCTGAGCTGCGAAATCAAAACCTAGTGCGACGAGCTGGAGGAGCAGGCCGAGGTGGATGCGCAGGCCAGACTAATGAGCCACAACATCAAAACGCGGCCACGACAGAAGGAAATATGCAGAATCCCTGCTATGACAACCACCAGGAGGGCGGAGGACCAGTCAACAACCAAGGAGATAATTATCACCTTGATGAAGAGGCTAACGATAGCCTATTTACTGAAAGGCTAATGAACTTGGCAATACCGCTGAGACTCAAGAGTGCCAAGATACCACCGTACGACGGAAGTCAAGACCCAGAGGCCCATTTAGAGGCTTTCAAGACCGAGATGTTGTTCAACGGGATCACTGGACCTATTAAGGCCAGAATCCTCGCAACAACCTTGACAGGTCAAGCAATGGCTTGGATAACCAGGCTCCCTAGGAACTCGATCGACTCGTTCGAGGACCTAGCCCGAACATTCCGACTAAACTTTGCAACAAGCAAAGCACATCCAATGCCGGCCTACGCTCTGAGAAGAATCCGGCAAAAGGAGAATGAATCGTTGAGGAAATACCTCGACCGGTTCAAGGATGCCGCCCTCAAGGTTCGGAGCCTAACTGAAGCAATGCACCTCCACCTAATCATCTCGGGATTAGATGGCGACTCTCCACTTGCGAAGTCCATCTATAAGAACCCGGTCAATGATCTGGAAGAGTTTCGACGAAGGTCGGATAAATACATTGATGTGGAAGACATGCAAAAAGTCTACGTCGAGTCCCGAGGACGCAGTCCGACACGACGAAGCCCGAGTAAGAAAAACAACAAAGATCAGGACCAGCGGGGATCGAAGAAATCGAAGGACACTCGTGATAAGAGGTCGGAAGATCGGTCGCCAAGGAGGAAATATGATGATTACACGCCCTTGAACATGTCCAGATCTTGGATATGGAAAGAGGTGACCCAGACTGAAATGCGCAATGTCGAGAGACCTCGACCCCTCAAAGCCAATAGTGGATTGGATAGAAACAAGTACTGCGCCTTCCACGACCATAACAATCATATCACGAATGACTGCTGGGACCTCCGAGATGCCATCGAAAAGCACATCAGAGTGGGCAAATTAAAGCAGTACATCATCCGAACTCAGGGCAAGAAGAATAATAAGCGGAGGCAGAGAAGCCGGAGCCGAAGTCGAAGCCCGAAGAGAGAGGACAAAAAAGATCAGAAACAAGACCGCCTTGCAAAGGGCAAAGAGGTCGAAGATAAAGATGAGTCTTTTCAGGAGGCTGAATTTGAATGCAACGTGATAAGCGGAGCTCTGGGAGGAGGAGGAGACGCGGCTAATGCAAGAAGAAAGTACCTGAAAGAGGTCATGTCGGTAAGAGACAGGCCGACCTTCAAAGGGAAAGCCAGTGATCCTGCTCCCCCAAGATTGTTTTTCACTTAGGAGGAACTGGCAATGGTCATACCCGGACACATCGACAGCTTGGTAATCACCGAAGTGCTAGTCAACTGCCGGGTCAAGAGAATCTTTATTGATCATGGAAGCTCGACATACATAATTCTCTGGGATGCTTTCCAGAGGATGAACCTGGACGAGAAGGACTTTAAACCATGTGTCACCGAGCTGGTCGGGTTCAATGAAGCGGTGTTCCCTCCAAAAAGCTACATTGATTCGAAGCTAACCTTGGGCACGAAGGATGCATTCCGAGCCGGAAGGGTTCGTTTCGTCGTTCTAGACACCTTTTCTTCCTACAACGTGATCATTGGCAGGCCTACAATCCATGACTGGGTCATGCTGATATGCACCAAGCATCAAGCACTGAAAATGCCAGGGGCGAATAACGAGATTATCACTATAAGAGGAGATCAGAAATAATCTAGGGAGTGCTACTATGAGACCCTGCGGGTCCATCAAGGAGGTCCATCATCTCCCTCTTGGCTTAAAAGTGGAGGAGCTAAGGACCAATCGCTAAAGGCATGTGGAAGCGAGGTAAACTTAATCGAACTCGAAATGAGGGAGGAGCTCCAGGCACCTCGTCCAAAACCCCAGGGAGAATTGGAAGACGTCAATATTGGGAGGGACGGTAAAAGGGCGCACCAAGGTGGGAAAAAGCCTGGAGGCAAATTTTAAAAAGGAGCTGGTTTCCTGTTTACAGGAAAACTCCGACGTATTCGCATGGAAGGCCTCGGAGATCCCAGGAATAGACCCAACTTTCTATTGCCACAAGCTCTGCATGTACCCAGGATCGAAGCCAGTGTCCCAAAAGAAGAGGAAGATAGGATCTGACCGACGTTAAGCTTTAAGCGAACACGTCGATGAGCTGTTAGAAGTCGGATTCATCAAGGAGATACAGTACACCACTTTGCTGTCTAACGTAGTGATGGTGAAGAAACCAAGTGGGAAGTGGAGGATCTGCGTGGACTACACCGACCTCAATAAGGTCTGCCCAAAGGACTCGTACCCGATGCCAAGCATTGACCAACTAGTTGATAATTCATCAAGATTTCGGCTACTATTGTTCATGGATGCGTACTCTGGGTACAATCAAATCCCATTACACCCAGATGACCACGAAAAAACTACCTTCATCTTAGAAAAAGGAAACTTTTGCTACAACGTCATGCCTTTTGGTCTTAAAATTGCGGGGGCGACCTATCAAAGGATGATGAACTGCGTTTTTCAAGCGCAAATTGGAAGAAATCTAGAGGTATACTTCGACGACATGATCGTCAAATCAATGCGCATATCAGCGCATATCGCCGACCTCAAGGAGACTTTTGAGCAACTAAGAGCTCGAAAGATCAGATTGAACCCTGCCAAATGCGCTTTTGGGGTGCCAGCTGGAAAATTCCTGGGCTTCATGCTCACCAACTGAGGAATAGAGGTCAACCCCGACAAATGCAAGGCCATCCTCGAAATGAAGCAGCCGGAAACCAAGAAGGAAATCCAACAGCTCACAGGTCGCCTTGCGGCCCTAACTAGGTTTTTGCCTAAGTCGGCAAAAAAAGCCTTGCCTTTCTTTAAGCTCCTTAAAAAAGAAGCGGAGTTCGGATAGGGTGAAGAGTGCAAAAGGGCATTCGAAAATATAAAGAACTGCTTAGCCACACCTCATGTACTGTCGAAATCAGAGCCTGGAGAAACGTTGATCTTATACTTGTCTGTGGAGGAAGAGGCCATCAGTGCCGCTCTGGTACGGAGACCGACAAATCACAACAGCCGATCTACTTTGTAGGTTTGACATTACAAGGACCAGAACTTCGTTACCAGAGGCTCGAAAAGGTTGCATTCGCCCTGCTTACCATGGTAAGAAGGCTCCGACCTTATTTCCAAGGTCACCGAGTCATTGTGCGAAAAAATCAGCCCATCAAGCAAGTACTACACAAGCTGGACCTAGCAGGAAGGATGATCAACTGGGCCGTCGAGCTCTCCGAGTTCGACATATCATATGAACCTCGACAGGCAATCAAGTCGCAGGCGTTGGCTGACGTCATCCTGGAGCTAACCTCATCCAAAGAAAAGGCACAAGGAAATGAAGATCTCTGGACAATATATGTCGACGGATCCTCGAACTCTAAGGGGAGCGGAGCCGGGGTGATAGTTGAAAGCCCGGAGGGAGTGTCCATTGAACACTCACTTCACCTAGCATTTTCGACCTCAAATAACCAAGCTGAATACGAGGCGTTCATCGCCGGGATCGTGCAAGCAAAAGAGCACAGAGCAAGGAGGATAAAAATCATGAGTGACTCGCAGCTGGTTACTTCACAAGTTAAGGGAAAATATCAAGCCAATGGTCCTCTCATGATGAAGTACCTCCAATAGGTCAAGGAGCTATTAGCCGAGTTTGACGAGGTTGTAATCCAGTACATAACTCGAAACGAAAATAATAGGGCTGACATCCTATCCAAACTCGCCAGCTCGAAAAGCTCATGAAACCATTGCACTGTAATACAACAGAGCATCCTGGAGCCGTGTGTAATGGTGATAACCGAGACTAAAGATTGGAGAAGGCCAATAGTGGCCTACCTGGAAAAAGGTGTCCTGCCAGACGAAACACAAGAGGCCAGAAAACTCGTGAGGAACTCGACCTGTTTTACCATTGTAGAAGGGCAACTCTACTAAAAGGGTTACTATGCACCCATGCTGAAATGCCTGAGTAAGAATAAAGTTGAGTATGTATTGGCCGAGATCCATGAGGGCATAAATGGACATCACATGGGAGGAAAAGCTTTAGCCAGGAAGGCACTAAGGGCTGGATACTACTGGCCCACTATGGAGCAGATGCGAAGGAACACGTCAAAAGGTGCAAACAGTGTCAGAAGCACGCACTAATCCTTCGTGCACCCCCTGAAGAACTGCAAACTATCACGGCAGCGTGGCCGTTCTTCAAATGAGGGATGGACCTGTTGGGACCCTTTACCGCGGCTGAAGGACAGCTCAAATGGTTCATAGTGGCAGTCGACTACTTCACCAAATGGATCGAGGATGAACCCCTCACCACCATTACTTCGGCAAGGATATAGAGATTCTTTGAAAGAAACCTGATTAGCCGATTCGGACTTCCTGCCGAGATCATCACAGATAACAGGACACAGTTTGCTGATAAAAAGTTCCAAGAGCTAATGACCGACTTCAAAATCACACATCGGTTTGCATCAGTGGAACATCCTCAAACCAACGGACAAGCCGAGTTTGCCAATAAGGTGATTATCAACGGGCTCAAGAAAAGGCTGTTCGAAGCCAAAGGAAATTGGGTGCAACAACTGCACCTCGTCTTGTGGGGTTACAGGACAAGCACCCAATCTGCCACAGAAGAAACCCCCTTCAAGCTGACATATGGGTGCGAGGCCATGATTTCGGTGGAAATCGGCGAACCATCCTGGAGGAGGGTACACAGATTACAAGGAACCGAAGGTCAAAACAAGGAGGCACTCCTTGTGGAACTCGACCTACTGGACGAATGCAGAGAGAACACCAGATACAAGAATATGATGGTGAAATGCCTAGTAACTGCTAGATTCAATAAGGTCAGACCACAGTCATTTCAGAGCGGCGACTTGGTGCTAAGGAGAGCGGACATCGGCAACAAGAATGCCAGAGATGGAAAGCTCGCCGCAAACTGGGAAGGCCCCTCCAAAGTCAAAGATAATTTGGGAAAGGGAGCCTACACCTTGGAAACTATCTCCAAGAAGCCAGTAAAGAGAACTTGGAACGCGGACATGCTGAAGGTTTACTATAGTTAGGCCTGAAGTCCGCCTTTCAAGATAATAAGACGGGCTATTAAGCTCGGTCAATAGTTAGATTTACTTCTACGCAAATAAGAGGAGTTCCTAAGCTCAGTCAGTAGGTAGATTTATTTCGAAGCAAATAAAATGAGCTCTTAAGCTCGGCCCTGTAAATAGATTTTGTTTGAAGTGCAAATAAAATGAGCAGTTACATCAATTCTGTCATCAATGCATGTCAATTTCTATGCAAGTAATTGAAGCCTCAAGAGCTTCACGATCAAACAAAGGAATAAAAATTTTGTTGACGAACAAAAGATAATCCTAGATCGGTTAACAAAACTTCGGCGAATCGCAAGTCGAGTATAACGAGATCGAAATTGAACCTCGGACATAAAAGTGAAAGGGAAGTAAAGCAACGATTTCGCTAGAATAAAACCAAAACATGAGTTTTAGAAGCTGACCCAAAGTGGCAAATATGTTCAGAAAAAATAAAAAAGGGGCTCAAAGGCCCCATAGCAAAATACAAAATGAAAGTCGGCATTCCGACCCCTTCATTGCATAGCACGTGGAGAAGCAGCGGGAATCTCGGCACCGGTCTCCTCCTCATCGGCACAGTCGGAATCAAGAGTTCCGGGATCAATAGCACAGTCCTTCACGTTGTATGCCACGTCCATCTCATCTGTAATAAGGCCAGGATTCAGAACCCGGGCTTGAGCAGCGGCATTGTCAAAGGCCTCGGTCGAGGCTTTTATGACCACAACCCTAGCCTCTTCAAAGTCAGCTTGAAGTTTCTCAATCTGGGCATCCTTGTCAGCCATGGACTTTGAGAAGGACTCCTTCTCAGCACTCAAACCATCCGCTTTGACAGTGGCTGATTCCAAATCCTTCTTAGCCTTGTCCAGCTCAGAGGACAACTCTCGAACTCTGATCTCCAGATCGGATTTAGACTTGCTCAGCTCCTTCACCTTAGTAGTAAGAGATGAGTTGGAAGCAATAGACAAGTCGAGACTCTGATTGAGATCTTGAAAGGTTTGAAGCAAAGAGGTGGTCTTCAAAGAGTCCTCCTCCATTCGCGCCAGCATGGCCCTCACAGTAGAGGTCAAGCCCGAGCCACCAATGAGCTCCGGAGGAGGCTTTAAGGCGGCCCTAAGTCAGTCAGTAACCCCGACCCTCCACAACTTCCCAAGCTCTAAGGTAATCAGGGTTCCTTGAGGAGCGGTGAAGGGAGGAGGAAGCGGCGATGAGGAAGGAGAAGAGACATCAGTGATGATCACCTCATCACCCACTGAACTTCCGCTGATCACGGCATCAACCCGTCGCTTTTTGGAGACCTCGGCATTGGAAGAGGGGACTTCTTTGGCTTTTCCCTTGCCAGACTTCTTGGGCAAAAACTTCATGTACTCGGCACTCGTCATGCTAACTGCAAAAGAGGTTCAAAGATTAGAACCCAAATCATTAGACATGTCAGGAAAAAAAAGCCATAAAGGAAAACGACATACCAAGCTCACAAAGGAGATCCTCTCCAAACTTATCTACAATCTGACTCAGATCGATAATGCCGAATTTCCTGGCATAACCAATCAGGACGGACGCCGCCAGTCTCTCCGAATCAGAAAGAGATACTCCGGGAGTAGCATAGTCCCTAGGACGCCGTAGATAATGATTCTGCGTCCAATAAAGCTCAAATCGACCTTCCAAATCTCCTCCGTCTGATAAAGACGAGGCAAACAAGGGGAGGCAGTCTGAGCGAGCTACTACCCTGAAGTAGGCATCCTTGAAACCCTTGAAAGATTGGGAGTAGGGGATAAAAATACCCCGGTTTGGAGCACCTCGGAGAGTCACCCAACCCTTTCTCTTCTTAGCCTCGGCCCCAGTCCGGGCTGTATATACATCAAAAAAATGGAAAAAGAGGCAAACTGTACAAGGAAGACAGAGGTAGGCGCAGACTTGTTCAAAACCCTGGATGAAGGCTCAGGAGTTGGGATGAAGTTGAGAAGGCGCAACCCGAAGTCTACAAATTACTGCCATCTGGAACTCGGTGAAGGGAAACCGAACCCCCAGCTTAGTTATCAGGTCTCGGTAAAGAAAAAAGAAATGGGGCTCGTCCAAAATAGGCCCTGCACACACCGGATAGTCACCTGCTGGGAGCATGTCCACCCCACTGGGGTCACCAACTGGAAGTTGTGCTACGTCGGCAGGAGACATCGTAGATCGCATGCAAAGGATCTCAAGAAGAACCCAATTTTGTACATCTGACTCCTCCATAGTTATGATCCTGGAACACGAAGGGCGAGGATCAGTACAAAAATCAACCGAATCCGATCTGGGACTCCCAAGATCGGATGGCGACAAGCCTGGACTCCATGAAAAAGGGATGGAGCTGTCAGAACTGCTGACAAGGTCGACAAAAGGCACTTGGCTAGAAGCCGAATCATCAAAACAAGAAGGAACATCTGACCTGGGAAAACCCAGCTCGGATAAGAAAGACTTGAGGAGTTGTCACTCAACCTAAGAGGGGGAATCTGATTTAAGACAGACCTCGGGCCTGGGGCCACCTGGGACGAAGGTAAAATATAAGATAAAGGAACTGGGTCAGGAGATGAGCCCAACCCAGAAATCGGAGGGTCAGGGACCGAAGGAGGAACACCCCTGCCAAAGTTAAGTTGAGGTTGATGACTCCCACTTCCTATCCGACCTCTACCTCTCCTACCACGTCCACCCTGGGAGACCCGACGACCCCCTTGGTGGCTTCGGAGAAGCTGCTGGAGCTTCTCCTCCTCGGTATATTCCCTACCATAAAACCAATATTGAACTGACCGAGGCAACTGCTTCACCATCTCCTCACTCTCTTAACCACCTCGGCCAGAAGAAGAACCAGGGGCACTCCTCAAAAACCCCAAAAACAGAGAACCCTCAAACAAAATAGACAGAAAGAACGCAAGTTCAGTACAAGATAAAGTAAATGAAGAAAAATATGCACCAGGCAAAAACTCGAGACGATGGAGTAAATGAAGAAAATAAACGAAAGAAGAAAGATATCTGGTCAGAGGGAAGTGAAGAGGAGACAAAGGAACTTAGAACCAGGAGACCTTCGGCAGCACAGGCCAAAAACAATAGTAGGAAAGCAGAAACTCACCAAAGAAAATGTTGAGAAGAAGCTTGAAATGGAGTAAAAGACTCTGAATATACACCACACGCGAGAAAGGAGTAAAAACCCTGTGAAGGAACCAAAATGGTGAATGTAAAGGAAACCAAAAAAACGTGAGGCGCGAAGGTGAAGGGGTTTCTAAACGGTTGAGTAAAGAGGGGAAAAAAAGGAACTTCACCCTGAGTGCATTAAATGCACTCAATCATGACCTCTGTAAAGCTTAATACGGCGCGCCCTGCACGATGCATGCACTGCCAACAAGCGCACAACACACGGATCCTGATAACCGTCATGGCAAAACAAGAAATGAAAGGTTAAGCTGATAAGACAGGACCAAACTCCGACCTCCAAGCTCCAGTTTCGCCTCAACATCGCAGGTCAGACAAAGGCTCGGCCACGAGATCGAAGCCGAAAGTCGTAACAAGACCAAGAACTTCAACTCAAAAATAACGTGACAAAGTCGAAACGAGGACTAAGCTCGGACACATGGAAAATCTGATATATTGAAAGTCCGGACTTCACATGCAACATCATGGAATGTTACGTGATAAACCTCGGCAAAAATAGTTCCGAGTAGTATCGCAAAACGCCAAGCTTTCAAAAGCTCAGCTCCGAGACCGTCGAACTCGGACGAACCAAATCCGAGGTAACATAGCAACACCTCGGCATCCCGAGCCCCGGAATACCGAGCTGGGGGGAAACTGTTATGGATATGAATATCATATCCCAACTACTTACCAGGGTATCTAGTAAAAGATAGAGTCACCAGCATCTCATCAACTCTAAACAGCCAGAGGGCATTAGATAAGGATCACATCCCAACAGAAAGAGGGTGGAATCCTATTGCAATTGGGGGAGCTCAAAAGGCCCAAGCCTAGGAAGGTAATCCTTATAAATAAGAGCTTAAGGACCCCAGGTAAACAACTTTTAACCTATTTACTGATATTGCCCACATTGTGCACACACCCCCTTGGCTATAAGCCTATTGCTTGTGCGCAGTGATTGGGACCTCGGCTATAAGCTTAGTATACACCTAATATACAATATCTCTGAGCGCATACCTCACGGTATAGCAATACGATCAATCCAGGACCGAACAATATGTTTTCTTATCATAAAGCATACTTACGTTAATAGGTTGATGATAGTTGAACATAATTCATTGTATTTTCTTGCAAAGAGCCATAATTTATTGAAGTGCGATGAAGTTATTTTGCCTTCTTAAATGCATAATTCATCAACCATGGAAATCTGATGTTTCACATTCTCAATTGGCATCGGCTATTAAAATTACTAATTTCTACAGTGCTTTTTTTTTTAATCAATTTATTTTTTTAAAATTTATGTGCTGCTTTCACTCAGTTCATATTTGTCATTACTCCATGATGATCTTTTTATTAAGAATGTTACATTGTGCAGGCTAGAGCTGGTATAGATTGTTGGGAACTCGGTTCCCTCAGATTGGCTAGGGATCTTTTTGAGGAAGTCAATCAACAAGATCCTGATCTCGGATCTCGACAATACCTCAGTCTGAACTTCACCAGGTCAGGCAGCGCAGCGGAGAAATCAAAACGAAAAACAGGAGAGAGAGAAGAAGAAGAACACAATTAGTTTTAACGTGGGAAAACCTTCTCCAATGAAGAAGTAAAAACCCACGGGACCTAGTTCAGATCAAAAAATCCACTATGAAAATAATGGTTACAACGAATCAAATACAAGAATGTGGTGGTTAACTCAACCTCTCCAACAATGGTGATAATCAAACTACCCTAGAGATGTTTCACTCAAACTCTCTCTAGAGATCTCTCAAATGCAAAGCATAAAGCTTTGCTCAAACAATCAAATAATTCTCTCAAATTTGTTCTCTCAAATCTGACCTAGCCTCCACCCACAACTAATGAGTATATATAGAGGAGGTGGAAATTAGGGTTAGGGTTTTTAGGAAACCCCTCAAATGGGCTTGGGATTAGCATTGAAGGAGGAAGCCCAACAAATCTCCCCCTCCGACTTCAATGCGTCGGCTTCAGCATCAATCCGGCTCCTTCACAGCAGTCTTCAAATTTTCTTGCTGGAACCGGCATTGTCATCATGTCGGACCAATTTTGGTCAGTGTGCACCTTGACGAGTTCGAGCTCACCATCTTCCACCACATCCCGGATCCAGTGATACCTCACATCAATATGCTTAGTGCGGGAGTGATAGGTTTAATTCTTCGCAAGATGGATTGCGCTTTGATTGTCACAACCCAGCTCGTACTTGTCTTGATCATGGCCGAGTTCCATGAGGAACTTCTTCATCCACAGCATCTCTTTGCTTGCCTCAGTAGCGGCAATGTACTCAGCCTCAGTTGTAGATAGTGCAACACATTTCTGAAGTCTTGATTGCCAAGAGACAGCTCCTCCGACAAATCTCATCAAATATCCTGTAGTCGACTTCCTCGAGTCGGCGTCTCCCCCTAAATCAGAATCTGAGTAGCCTTGCAACTCGGCTTTGCCTTCTCCAAATCGGAGACATAAGTCGGTCGTACCTCGGAGGTACTTGAAGATCCACTTCACTGCTTCCCAGTGCTCTTTGCCGGGGTTTGACAAATACCGGCTTACCATTCCAACAGCATACGCCAAGTCGGGTCTAGTGCAAACCATTGCATACATCAAGCTTCCGACGGCGGATTGGTAAGGGACCTTCATCATCTCATCTTTATCTTCATCAGATCTCGGACATTGCTTTTGGTTCAACTTTATGTGTCCGGCTAGGGGGGTGCTCACTGTTTTGGCTTTGTCCATGCTGAATCTCTTCAGAATCTTCTCAATATATTTCTCTTGACTCAGCCACAGTAGCTTCTTCTGTCTATCTCGGATAATCTTTATTCCGAGAATCTGCTTTGCAGGGCCGAGGTCCTTCATTGCGAAGGACGAGCTCAATGCCTTTTTCACGGCGGCTATCCTCGATTTGTCTTTCCCTACAATAAGCATGTCGTCAACATATAACAACAAAATCAGAAAATCTCCGGCCTCATACCTCTTCACAAATATGCAGTGGTCGGCTTCTGTCTTCTCAAACCTGTGATCTGTCATGAATGATTCAAATTTCTTGTACCCCTCCCGAGGTGCTTGCTTCAAGCCATAGAGGCTCTTCTTCAACCGACATACCAAGTCTTCTTGGTCTAGAGCTTGGAACCCTTCTGGTTGCTCCATATATATCTCTTCTTCTAAATCACCGTGAAGAAATGCCGTCTTCACGTCCATTTGTTCTACATCGAGGTCCATAGAAGCCGCCATGGCTAATACGGTTCGGACCGAGGTCATTTTCACCACAGGAGAAAAAATCTCCTCAAAATCAACTCATTTCTTCTGATTGCAGCCTTTCACTACAATCTGGGCTTTGTATCTCGGCTTTTTCCCGTTCTCTTCATTCTTAATCTTGTAGACCCATTTGTTTTTCAGAGCTCGTCTTACTTTAGGCAACTCAGTCAGCTCATAAGTCTGATTCTCGTGCAAAGACTTCATCTCGTCTTGCATTGCCTTTTCTCATTCTTCTTTCTCTGAGCTCGTTACAGCCTCATCATAACTCTGAGGCTCACCGTCTTCAGCTATAACAGTGTATTCATCAGATGGGTACCTTGTAGAGGGTCTTCTTTCTCGAGTTGGATATCTCAGCTGTTCTTTAGCTTGAGAACCCGGTTCATCATTCTCATCCCGGATCTCATCATCAACTCGGACATCAGTGTCTTGGTCATCCTCAGCTTGTTACTAATCATCATTTTCTTCATTTTCTTGATTTTCTCCCCATGCTTCAGCTCGGACAGGAGGGATGGGTTCTTCACGTCTGACAGTAACCCGGACTTTGGGCTTCGAGATGTCATGAATGTTCTCATTCTCATGAAAGATCACATCTCGGCTTCTCACGATCTTCTTATTGATTGGATCCCAAAGTTGGAACCCGAACTCACATCTCGGTGAACCAAGATAGATGCATTCTTTTGTCTTCGCATCAAGTTTTGCCCATTCATCTTTAGGGATATGCACGAAAGCTCGGCATCCAAAAATCTTCAATTGATTGTAGGCCGCTTTCCGATCTGTCCAGACTTCTTCTGGAATTTCTCCTTCAAGTGGCCGTGATGGTGAGAGATTGATCAAGTCAACAGCAGTTTTGACGGCTTCTCCCCAGAATGATTTCGGCAACCCGACATTGGATATCATGCTTCGTACCTTCTCTTCAATTGTTCTGTTCATCCTCTCAGCCAGTCCATTTAACTGTGGAGTCTTGGGGGGCATCTTCTCAAGTCGAATCCCGGCCGCTCTGCAGTATGCATCAAATGGGCCGCAATACTCACCACCATTATCAGATCGGACCACCTTCAATTTGTTGCCAGTCTCCCTTTCAACCATAGCATGGAATTCTTTAAAGGATTGGAGTACCTGGTCTTTAGACTTCAACAAATATACCCACACTTTGCGGGAATGGTCACCAATAAATGAAACAAAGTACTGAGCTCCTCCAAGGGATCTTTCCGACATGGAGCAGACATCAGTATGGACGAGGTCAAGAATATACCTGCGTCGTCTAGGTTGATCCGGTCTCACAAAAGAAACTCGGTGCTGCTTTCCAGCTAGGCAATGCGTGCAACTCTCCAACGCTTGGCCTTTCAACCCGGTCAGTAGTCCTTTCTTGTTCAGGATCTGTAGCCCTTTCTCGCTCATGTGGCCGAGGCGCTTGTGCCACAGCTCCAAGCTAGGTTCATCTCGGACAGAATTGGCTTCTCCGCCATTGATCTTTCCTTGCATCACGTGCAAGGAGCCTTCCTTTTTACCTCGGGCCACGACCAAGTTTCCCTTGGCCAGCTTCCATCTAACACTACCGAAGTAGTTCACTAACCCGTCATCATCAAGTTTGCCTACCGAGATTAGGTTCAAACGCATGTCAGGAACATGCCTTACATCTTTCAACACAAGTCGGCATCCGACATCTGTGGTCAGAGTTACATCACCGACACCAACAATCTTGCTGGTCACTTGATTTCCCATCTTCACAACTCCAAAATCACCATCTCGATAAGAGGAGAAAAAACCTTTGTGTGGAGTAACGTGGAAGGAGGCACCGGAGTCAATAATCCAGGTGCAGTCATCATATGCAACATTCAAATAATTATCCTCACCTAAGAGTAATATATCGGCATCAGGGTTTGCAGTCACCGCAGTGGTGCTCTTGTCTTCCCTCTTATTGGGAATAATCTGATCCGGCTTCACAGAGCCGTTCTTCTCATCATTCTACAGGGTCCAGCAGTCTGGCTTCTTATGGCCTGTCTTTCCACAGTAAAAGCACTTCAACTCATATTTCGGCTTTGACCGACCTCTGGACTTATCTCGTCTGTCACGACCTCTACCTCGGCTTTTGCTTCTACCGCGGGAGTCGGATTTCCCTTTGTTCTCAGCAACGTTAGCCTCAGACGTACTCGAAGTACCTCGTTCTCTTCTCCTGGATTCTTCGCCCAAGAGGTTGTCTGTCACGACATCCATCTTCAATTTTCCATCTGGAGTCGAGTTATTCAGGGTCACCACCAGAGTATCCCAGCTTTCTGGCAGCGAGCTCAACAGCAGCAATGCCTGCAATTCTTCATCAATTTTCATATCAGCCTTTGACAGCTGATTCACAATACCTTTGTAGGTGTTCAGGTGTTCAATCATGCTCATGTCGTCCTTGTATTCAAGCTTAACAAGTCAGCGAACCAGGTGTGCTTTGTTCCTGGGAGTCTTCTTCTGAATCATGGATTCTAGCTTCGTCCACAACTCATACGCGTTCGTGAATTCGGACACGTGCTCAAAGAGGCTTTTATCAATATATTTCCTGATCGTGGCTACCGCCTTCCGACTCAGGATCTCCCACTCCTTATCAGTTTTGCCTGCCAGTCTCTCATCAAGGATAATGGGCTCATGTAGATCTTTGCAGTAGAGATGATCTTCCATCATCGGTCTCCAATAAGTGAAGCTGTCTGCAGTCAACTTGAACATATCTCCATCATGAGTTATGCCACTGGTCTCCATCTCGTCTCCCTCAGAACCCGTCGAACTCGGGCTCTGATACTACTGTTGGGAACTCGGTTCCCTCAGATCGGCTCAGGGGCCTTTGTGAGGAAGTCAATCAACAAGATCCTGATCTCGGATCTCGACAATACCTCGGCCTGAACTTCACCAGGTCAGGCAGCACAGCGGAAAAATCAAAACGAAAAACAGGAGAGAGAGAAGAAGAAGAACACAACCAGTTTTAACGTGGGAAAACCTTCTCCAATGAAGAAGTAAAAACCCACGGGACCTAGTCCAGATCAAAAAATCCACTATGAAAATAATGGTTACAACGAATCAAATACACCAATGTGGTGGTTAACTCAATCTCTCCAACAATGGTGATAATCAAACTACCCTAGAGATGTTTCACTCAAACTCTCTCTAGAGATCTCTCAAATGCAAAGCATAAAGCTTTGCTCAAACAATCAAATAATTCTCTCAAATTTGTTCTCTCAAATCTGACCTAGCCTCCACCTACAACGAATGAGTATATATAGAGGAGGTGGAAATTAGGGTTAGGGTTTTTAGGAAACCCCTCAAATGGGCTTGGGCTTAGCATTGAAGGAGGAAGCCCAACATAGATTATGAATCCTCTTTTGGTAAAGCACGCCCAAATGATACTATCCTGAAGCTTCAAAGGACAACACCATATTACAAAAGAAACCGGGCACACGTTTGCAGTTTCTACATAAGGGGTGAGTGTACGAGAGGAGCTGAGTGCCCTTATAGGCATGGGATGCCGATAACTGGGGAATTGTCTCAACAAAATATCAAAGATCGTTATTATGGGTATGTATGGTTGTAAATGACTTCCTCTATTGGTTATGGTTGTAAATAGTTGGAGCTTTGTTTCAAACGACAACAATCAAACCCTATCCTACTACCTTGGGTCATCATATAATGGGTCAAATGACTCTTTTATCACTTGACCATTATTTGGCATTAAGATTTGATTTAAGGATTCAAAGTGGGAAATTTTCATGATTATTAAGTTAGTAATTTCATTTACTTGCAAGTTTGGTTCATTCTTTGTTTTCTGCTGCATGTGGCTAAAGTCTTGTATTTTATTGTTTTTGGTTTTTACTTAAATGAAAAGCGTACCTTGCCTGTATGGTTCTTAGCCTGTAATTTTGTCTACTTTTAGTAACGCTTTATTTGTTTTTTGCTACTTACATGTTATTGTGTAGTAAGAGATTTTTTTAACATGGATGAATGAAGATAGCTTTATAGTGTCTTACCTTTAATATTCTCACATAGCCAAAAATGATTTAGCAGACAGTCAATAGCCAACAAATACGTATCAAACTTATTTTGAGGATAACCATCTGGTTTCTATTTTTTAATCCATCATGGATACAGTAATAATTATTTTTTCAATCTCATTAACCTATATCCTTCTGATTTTTAATTTTCTGCAGTCTGCACAATTTCCTTTTAACTACAGATACTGTTGGCTGTGTAGTTGATGACATTTTAAATATTGCTTCATGCTTTTGACTTTGTTTTTCTTTTAGAAGAATGTCTTGATGTTTTTTAAACATGCAGGGTGAATGATCCGGTGGCATTGAAGCTACTTGGCAAGGCAGGAGAGATGACCTCTTTGGAGGTTCCTGAGGATGAGAGCATTAAAACTCTTTATGTTGGTGGATTGGATGCGAGGGTCACTGAGCAGGATTTACGGGATCACTTTTATGCCCATGGAGAAATTGAATCAATCAAAATGGTTCTCCAACGGGCTTGTGCTTTTGTAACCTATACTACCAGAGAAGCTGCAGAAAAGGCAGCTGAAGAACTTTCCAACAAACTGGTTATTAAGGGCCTTAGGCTAAAGCTGATGTGGGGCAGGCCTCAGTCATCAAAACCCGAGTCAGATGTCTCTGATCAAGCAAGGCAGCAGGCATCTGAGGCTCATAGTGGATTGTTGCCTCGAGCAGTTATATCAGAGCAGCAGAACCAGGATCAAACCCAAGGAATGCTTTACTATAATAATCCACTTCCTCCTCCTCAGCAGGAAAGAAGCTATTACCCATCAATGGATCCTCAAAGAATGGATGCACTTGTCCCATCTCAAGATGGTCCTCCTGGTGGGCCTTCTGGGTCAGGGGAGAACAAACCCAGCTTGGAGAAGCAGCAAATGCAACATTATCCCCATCCAATGATGCCTCCTCCACCTGGCCAATATCATCGCCAGTATTACCCTCCATATGGTTATATGACACCAGTTCCCCCTTATCAACAGTACCCTCCATCATACAATGCTGCAATGGCTCTATCACAGCTACCTGCTGCAAATCATCCCTATCAGCATTCTATGGAGCCAGGGTCTTTTTCACAGATTGGGTCTGCACCAGCCGAAACTGTAACATCACATTCAGGGTCACAGCAGCAGTGAAATTTGCCCATTTAGTAATGCTTTTTTTTTTAGTACAAATGTAGTCATGCTTTTAGATATACATAGAATTATAGACGGCTATTCTTGCACTTTTAGCCTTTGGCAATTTGTTTTTACAATCCCAAATGTACAGCTTAAAATGCAGAAAACTGCGTAATCCTAATGCGAGGCCTTGTCTTCTAACACTATCAAATTTAATTAGTTCATTGTAAAGATATTTCATTCGCTGCGAACTACAATAAAATAATTACAACATTTTTTCTGCCATTTAATAATTATACATTAGTGTATTAACCTATTATAAAAAATTCATTTCACAAATAAAAAATCTAAACTTTGATTAAACAAGAGAAAATAATTGTCGTGAAAAACATAAATAAAATGTTATGCGCTAAAATTATGAATACAATGTTAGGCCATTTAAGGGTTAATTAGTAAGAAAATCCACAATCTTGTCGCTGTGAGAAAAAAATTAGTGCAAGAATAATCATGAAGTTAAAATATCTAGCAAATATCTCGTGTATTACATGAATATTAAGGATGTGCAAGAATAATCATGAAGTTAAAATATCTAGCAAATATCTCATGTAGTACATGGATATTAAGGAGGTGCAAAATAATCAAAAAATTGAATCGAACTGTGAACTAAACTGAACTGCACTTAAAATAACTGGCTTTTAAAAATCAGTTCATGAACCAAATTGATTTTTAAAGAACTAGTACCACTTCAAGAACCGAACCGCTTTTGAACTGAACCGAACTGTTTTCGAATCGAACCGAACTGATTTTTATTACTTTATTTCTTTAATTTTTTTTTCAGAATAGGGTCGACCCGAACCGATTTTTGACTGAACCATTTCCAACCAAACCGAACCATTTTTTAACAGAACCAAATTGGTTCAACCGTTTTCGAACCGAACCGTTTAAACCAATTTGGTTCGGTTTTTCAAAAATTTCAGTTCAATTCGACCCATGTACACCCTTAAATTCACCTAAATTGAAGAAACATTAAGACAGAAAAATATCCAGCCCCTACCCCATATGTTGAATGAGGAATGGGAGCTTCGAGTTGAACATGAAGATCTGGTTGCTTGGCGCAAGTCTGTTTCTGGCAACAGTACTACTCAAATGGAAACACTTAGGCCGGTTTGATAGAGGGATAAATTTTAGATTAGCAGAAAATTCACATTGTGAATCTTAGTTACTCACGTTTGTTACAAGGATTCTTAAAATTTTCCTTGGAAAATAAGATTCATGGGAATTAAAATTATGAATAAGAATCCTATGAAATAATACCAGCAGGTGGGTGATATTCTTGAATTTCTACATGGTTGGAAAGTTTGACATAATTTATAGGATATAAATAACTCTGCTTTAATATTTTTTTAACTAAAATATCCTATCTTATTCTGCTTCACAAAATCATGGGTTTTTCTCTTTCCTTTCACGACGTCTTTTTAATGGATTTTTCTATGCTTTACGCCGCTTAGCTAGAATGACTCCCAACACCGCATTTTAATTCTTTTGTGGCATATTAAAAAAAGAATTCAAAAATTCATCAAATAGTTAGTTTTGTAAAACCAGCCCATATTCCTATGAATTATTGACAATCGATCAAACATAGAATTAGAAAACTTAGGCAACATTCCTATGATATTTTGCATTACCAAATAACTTTGGGTAAGATTGCTGCAAAAACAACATATTCCTCTAAATTGTGCTTTCCATGAATAAAAAATAAAAAAAATTCTTCTACCAAATGTCATCTTACCGTCTTTTGAAATTACATGGGACTATGGGAGGATGCTTTTGCTATTATCCCTCAATTTCCTAACTTTGACTAACTTTGAACTTGAGGACAAAGTGAAACTTTCGAGGGTAATATTGGTAAACCCCGAAAAGTCTATGTTAGGAATCGCCACAGGAAATCCACTCCTAATGCTTAGTCAGCACAAAGTTTGTTAGAAAAGAATATTATAGCAGAAAATGACAATTATGCAGAGGGACAAATTTTCTGTATGCTCGTATCGTAATAATTTCGCATACGGAGATAGCAATTTGCACACCAACTACTGAGGTGGAAAACAGAATGGGAGGGAATGAAGAGAGCCTTGCTATTTAAATAGAAAGAAAGAAGGCACAAGTGTTGTTTTTATCGCAGAATTAAGGGTTGATTCGGAGGTAGCCAGAGCTCCTCGAATTGCTCTGCAATTTCATCTTTTGGGATCTTTTTTATTTACTATTTCGAATATTACTTCCGTAGTTGTAACCTTTATTGTTCTTCTTGGAATTTTTGGCTGTAATTTTGTTTTCAAATAGTGATATACAGTGTTAGTGATTCTGTTTCATCTCAATTTTCTCCTCTGGTATTAGTTGATTGCATAAAAATGAATGGAACAAAGAGAAGATTTGGCATCGATTCTACGATATCTACCAGTGGTAATGAGTTCTTCCTCTCTGGTTTGGTTGTCCCGAACTGTGGAAAATCTCATAAAACTCGAAAGAGGTTGGATTAACTCATGCGAGCTCTTGTTTGGCGCCATTTCTGAACTCAGAGACTCTCTTTCTTTCCCTTCCCAATATTGTGAAAAATCCGCTTCAAATGGATACGCCTTATTTTTCAACAAGGTAAACACTGATAACTTGACCATTTTATAAGACCCAATTAATTCAATTTTGAATGTGAGTTTTTCAAATTAGGCATTTTGGGTACATGGGTGGGTTTTGCTGCTTATGTCTTGTTGTTTCAGCTTATGTCTAGAGAGGAATCTAGGAAGTGGTTTGAGGAGGTGGTTCCAGCATTGGCAAACTTGCTTTTGTGGTTGCCCTCTTTGTTGGAAACACACTATAAGAATGTTGATATGGTTATAGATGGAGGGGAAGGTATGGTTAAAACCGATCTTCGCTTACTGGGTCAACAGGAAACAGGAATAATGTTCCTTAGCCAGGTTTGCTTCTTATTATTATGGTTTCTGTATTTTTTTATCTTGTATTTTATTTTCATAATAAGTTATGTTATTTCTTTTTAGGGATAGGTTATTCTGCCTACTTTTATTTTGCCTACCTTTACCTACCTCTTTTATTACCGTTTGATTACAATCTAATCCAACGGTCCATATTTGCGAAATAAAATAAATCATTTTTCCCCTTTTCTTTCTCCTCACTTCCTCCTACACCCTTTCTCTCTCCTCCCCTTTCTCTCTTCCTCTACGCCATACCTTTTTTTTTTCCTTCATCGTTGGTGTCTGCCGTCGTGGACCTCTTTAACCCCCCACCCTCTCCAACTCCATGTGACCCTTTCCAACTCCATGTGAAGTTAGAAGCTTTTCAACTTCAGAAAAAGACTTTGAAAAAAAAAAACCCTTCCTATTTCTGCAACTCTATCCAAAGCGGCGGTGCCACAAGGTGGGTTTTTCAATCTTTACCTCACAACTTGTTGTTTAGTTGTTTTCCATGGTGGCGCAAATTGGGAATTGATAAAATTTCCCGTTAATCACTTGTGTCTGCCGTAGTGAATAATTCTTTTCATCGCTTGTGTAGCTTATTAGGTTTTTTTTTTTTGGAACTCCTTTTTTATCGCGTGCATGTTTCAACCAACCATGATCACCATAAAAATCGATAAACCCATTTCGCACAAGCAATTCAGAATCAAACCCCTTTTTTCGAACAACGTAATGCACCAATTCCCCCTCCAAAACTCCCACAAACTGCTCGCACGCCTTGAGCTCGAAAATAAAGCTCCTGCAGTCCATTTCAACGTGTTCTCGATGCATTCGAACAAAACTGGGCTTTACAATAGCCTCTTATCATGGTGTTCCACATATAAGTATTGGGTTCCTCGATTTTGTCGAAAAGAATGTGGGCATATCGAATGTCTCAGGTATGGCTCAGAGGAAGAGAGAAAGGGTGTGGGAGGAAGTGAGGAGAAAGAAAGGGGAGAAAAGGATTTATTTTATTTCGCAAATATGAACCGTTGGATTAGATTGTAATCGAACGGTAATGAAAGGGGTAGGCAAAATAGGAGTAGGCAGAATAACTTATCCCTATATATATATATTAGTTATGGGATGAAAGTAGGCTAGAAGAGAATGAGAGAAAGAAAAGAAAAAGGTTGACTTGTGATATTTTTGAGGGTTTGAGTGAAAAGCTCAAAGCTTTTATTTTAAGAGCACCTCTAGGGAGAAGCTTGAGTATTAGGCCTCCTTAGGGAAGTTTGAGAGAAAACCACCAATATAAGTGAGATTTGAGTGTATCACCATTATTAGTGAAGCTTGATTCTTGTAACCCATTATTTTCATAATGGAAGTTTGATTTTGAACTAGTGTCTCGTGGGTTTTTACTTCTTCACATACATTGGAGAAGGTTTTCCCACAATAAAATCTACATGTGTTCTTCACTGTCTCTCTCTTATATGTTTTTTATTTTTTCGCTGTGCCTGCCGACCTTTGATTGGAGAGCTGAGCTCGTAGCTCGACGTTTGACTTTCGCAAAGGCTTCTTAGTCGAGATTGAGGGAACCGAGTTACTAACAGTGGTATCAAAGCCCAGGTTCGACAGGTTCTGAGGGAGACGAGATGGAGCCAATGGAATCTCACATGATGGAGATATGTTTGAGCTGACCGCCGACAACTTCACTTACTAGAGACCGATAATGGAAGATCATTTGTACTGCAAAGATCTATATGAGCCCATCATCCTTAAAGAGAAGCCTGAATGCAAAACTGATAAGGAGTGGGAGATCCTGAGCCGGAAGGCGATAGCCACTATCAGGGAATATATTGACAAAGACCTCTTTGAGCACGTGTTTGAGTTTATGAACGCGTCCAAGTTGTGGACGAAGTTGGAGTCCATGATTTAGAAGAAGACTCTCGGGAACAAAGTACACCTGGTACGCCGACTTATGAAAATCAAATACAAGGACAACATGAGCATAATTGAACACCTCAACACCTACAAATATATTGTGAATCAGCTGTCTAAAACCGAGATGAAAATTGATGA